TATCATTTCCATATTAGTATGCATAGAAAAATTACAATAATCATGGGGAATAAACAAAGTTGAATACAAAATTTTAATTAATTGTTAAGTAGCTATTAATTTAATAAATTAATATATTTTAAAAAAAATTAAAAAAGACTACTAAGCAATAATTATTTGTTTAATATAATTTAAAAAATTTTTAATTTTATTTTGGACACATTCGATATTTCTTTTTTGTTTTTAATAGAGCTGGCATATCTTAACATATTTAAGGCATATATATAGAAGCATCTCTATCCCCACGGCCGAGTGCCTTACTAATGTATATGATATGTCATGCTTCATTATTGTAAAATATCAATGCATCATATTACTCTAATGTTTGTTTTAATTATATGTTGTAAATTTTTTTAATTTATCAAAAAATTTAAATGGTACTGTGACTATTATTAAAAAATTAAAATTTTTATTTTAAAGTAAATAACATCATTATAAGATTGAAAGATTTTTTTTTTTTTTGCTATGACTATTATAAAAAAATGGATTAACAAATAAAATTGGAGGTCAATGTAGATGTGTGATACTTTAGTTATTTTATATTAAAAAATATTAAATTATATTAATAATGAAATATTTTCAGCTATACAAGATATGAAAGAATATACATTATAAATGTTAGTTTTTTTATCTTTCTTATACTTTTTTTATGCAAAAATTATTTAATTTAAAAATACTGAAATATATAATAGCCAATATCAAAGCGAATAATAATAATTGAAAGAATATTCTAAAATTAATTTATATCCACATTAAAAACATTTGTGGCCCCATCGATGCTTAGTTTGATTGGTGGGTAGATGCGGTTGATTACCCCCCAAACTCGTAGCTCGACTTCTCCTCGAGCCGGGTATTTTTATATCATATAAAATTTTGAAAATTATTGAGAAAGCAACAAAAAAGCTAAAGTCAAACAAAATTGTGATTGTCATATGCGAAGAAAACAATGAGAAAGTTGTCTCAAATATACTCTGAATTAAATTATCTCAAAATATCCTGTGAGTCTTCTCTTAAGGTTCATTTAAGATGAACACATCATTCTCTATATGTATATATAGAGAGAGTTATTTTGAAGAAGTAATAAATTTTTGGGATTTTTACATAAATAACAGCTAAAATTATTAAAAAAACATATTTAACACCTAAATTTCTATATTTACTAATATACCACCTAAAACGCCTCTTTTAATCATTTCTAAGATTCCATTTAAACCTTCCGTCAAAAATCACTATTATCGATTGTCTTCCTCATCAATGTTCATAGTGAATACAAGTATCTCATCGCTTCAATGGAGTGGTAGAATAGAAGCAAAGGGAGATTTTAGGAGGTATATTAGTAAATATAGAAGTTTATGTGTTAAATATATATATTTTCAATAATTTTAGATGTTATATATGTAAAAATTCCTAAATTTTTTAACCTTAAAGAAGTTAAATAATATATTTGTAGCAATAAATGTAATTATAAGAAGTCATTTTTTATCACAAAAGTATTTAAAAATAACAGAAAATTGTAATTAAATAAAAACATTATGTATATTAAAAAGAAAATTATCCAAAAAAGAAAGCCTTAAATGAAGCCCACAATAATCCTCAAAGTTGTGGGCCAGCACGAGGCCTATGAAAGCAGAAAGGCCTGAAGGAGCCACTTGCTACTTACTACAAGATGGAGACTGACTTCGTTGTTGCTGTGGATACAAAGTAAGCACCGGTCCCATTTATACTAACCTGGTGATCATCATATGATGGGAGTACATAAATAATAATTTGGTGGCTCCCAGCAGCATTTTTTTTTTTTTTTTTTTATGACGAGGAACCGTCCGCTGCCATTCTGACTTAGCCAGGCGCTTGGCGGTCCGTAAACCCCGGCCGACCTACCAGACCACCCACTTCACTGAACCCGTAGCCAGCGCTTAGGAACCCCCACTTATGGGATGATTGCCGCTCGAGGGATTCGAATTCGATATGAGGGGTTCCCACCCGAGCACGCCCCACCAACCGAGCTAAGCATCGGTGGGTCCAGCAGCATTTTCAGTGCTTCTCTTTTTACCATAAATTTTGTACCACGTCCACTAAACAGGTCTGAAATTAATCATTGAAAACAACAAATTATTCTCAATTATTAGGGATAAACTTTATAAATTCTATTTTTATATTCATACTCGTCTGCCTAAGATCATGTCTTAATAATCTTTGTGAAAGTCCTATGCACGAAGCCGGGTTTATGGGCTCATTAGTACTTTTTCTTTTGATATTTTTAATATTCTAGAGTTAATTCCATCCATTTTTTTTGAAATTAATCAAATATATAAAAAATCAATTAAGATCATTTTTGTTTGGGAAGATTTTTTCCGTTTCTTAAAATAGTTTTTTAATATAAAAATTAAAATTATTATGCTAAAAAGTAGCTTTAATAATCATTAAAAAGCCATCTCAAATAAAGCCTTAGTGTTTATTTGGGATAATTTTTTTATCATTTTATTTTTCAAGTCGCGATCAGAATTATGCTTAGTTAGTGCTTTCAAAAAATAATTTGTGCTAAAAAATCTAATTTTTATGGGTGCATTTAAAAAAGTCATTTTCCTTACGATAGCCTAAAAACAAACTTTCATATGAAATTTAAGGCTTACTTTAATAAAATAATAATTTAATACATTTTGACCTTATTTATTTAAAAAAAATTAATAATTTTTTTATTATATTCATCTCAAAGTAAATTCAATAATTTTTAAGCAAATTTTAAAAACATAATATATTTGTCAATCTTTTTAATTTTATCTTATTTTATAAATGTACTGTTTGATTTAATGCATCTTCCACTACTTATGTTTTTTATATTTCATTAAAAAATAAATAAAATTCAAAAAGTAAAAAAAAATATTTGTATATTTCATGGAATCGTAACCTCAGTAAGTATTATTCTAATTATTTTTTATAGAATTGTTTCTCATTCAATTCATCTGAATATTTTTTTTAAGACACAATCTACTTGCAATCAGAAATTTTATTTGATACCTAATCTTTAGATTTTAATAATATTGTCAATATAATTGTACATTTAAATATTCATCTTCAATTTGATCATTTTTCTTGATAGATTTATTAGCAAACTACTTTTGTTTTTTTTTTTTGCAGTTTTGATAATTTTTTTGAATTATATTACATTTTTTTGAATTAAATCATATGCTTATATAGCGATAATAATAATAATAATAATAATGATTATAGATTCCTGATATGAATATTAAATATGTTTTAATATTAATGTGATAGTAAACAAGGCTAATGACTCTAATAATTCTACTCATTTGCTTTAAGTATAAAAATCATGACATTATCTAAGTTATCATTTCTATGTAAAAGCGAAATATTATTCAAATTTATATTTCATAAATATTGATCAATAAATATGAAAATTCATCAGAACAAATACGAATTTCAACGCAATCTTTGAATAATTTTTTTTTAAAGATAATTCATAATTATTAGAACTCCAATTTTTATAAACATATTGTCAAATTGAGCATCCTGATAAGGAGCTAGAATTTTTTTTTAGTCCGGTCAAAAACTAATAATTTTTAAATACTTCTATTCCTTTTTCAGATGATATATTTTAACTTTCATAATGAAAGAGTATTTTGATCTTTCAACATTTATTTTAATAAATTATTAAATCCTATATTGTTTATTTTGTTGGTTATATTATACGCAAATCTCCAATTATCTTATTTCATTTAAATATTTAAGTGCTAGTTTGAAAAAAAAGAAATTCTATAACAAACACATATTTTTTTTCTTTTTATATATATATAATTTTTTATGTTGCAAATTTCTAATTTTTCTAACCTGACATTTCTAAATAAAGTTATTAATTATAAGTTTATTTTCGTATGTAAAAGGTTTACACGAAATTTTTTAATTTATTTTTATAGCATTAAATTATAATTTAAGTAAGAATAGAGATCATTGAGCATAATTAGTTAATTACTCGCTTTGTGGCCCCAAGGATACTGTGTTGGCATGCGAACAAGAGGTTCTGGATTTGAATCCTAGCGAAATAAATATTTTAAAATAAATTCTAGTGGGCTTTCTAATGAATGCATGGGCCAGTGGGATTTTGCCCCTTGGGCCTGTACTGTAGTCCCAATAGTACTGTTGATAAGATGACCCAAATTATACCAAAAGCAATCTCATCTAACTCTAAATGAGCTCAAATTAGATAATTTAATCATAAGTAAAAACTTTGTGACATTAATTAAAAGACTAAAAGATTTCGAATCTTACACGTTTATAATAAAATTAATTACCTTAATAAGAAGAATTCTATTTAAATACTCTCACTTTAGCTGCAAATTTTCTAGAATATAACACCAAGCAAAACTGATTAAAAATTGAACGATTGTTAATCTTACCAGGACCTGAAATCAAATTGGCTGACAGCCTTGCAATATGGGCCTTCGGTCCATTCACTTAATGGGCTATATTTTGTACAGGTATTTTGCATCGCATGGAATAGCTTCATGGTCTTCTTCCCTGACCTTAGGCACGGCCCCGAATTTCTCCACCAGAATCTCCACTACAACGGGCACAAGTTCGTCGCAGGGAACCCCCTTCTTGTAGAGCTCCCCGAGATGCGAATCGCTACCGATTCTGCCTCCTAAATAAACATCCACCCCTTCACAAACCTTCCCATCGGCATTGCGCGTTAAGCAGCCCATAAAACCTATGTCGGCCACCTGAACCTGGCCGCAGCTGTTAGGGCAGCCAGTCCAGTGCATCCTCACCGGCTGCGCAACCGCCACCAGCTTTTCTACCTCCTCCGTCATCCGCAGCGCCCTCGCCTTAGTCTCAATGATCGCCTGCCCGCAGAATTGACTCCCGGTGCACGCCACTAGCCCCTTCATCAGAATTGACGGCCCCGGTGAGAACCGCTTCTTAAGCAGCGGTTCCTCGAGCAGCGCGCTCAACCTCGAATTTTCAACGTTGGGGATGAGGATGTTTTGCTCTACGGTAAGCCGGAGCTCGCCGGAGCCGTACGCATCCGCGATTCTTGCCAGCTCGAACATGTCCACCGCCTGGACGCGGCCTACAGGCACGTGGAGGCCGACGAACGAGAACCCCAACTGCTTCTGCGGGTGCACTCCGAGGTAATCCCTTCGTTCCCATTGCTTCATCACCAGATCCCCCGGCGACGCTCTCTCCAAACTCCCCGTTGGCATTCTCTTCTCGACCTCCGTGCGAAACGCCTCTATTCCCTGTCAAAGCTGAGTTAGCTGTGCCTTCGTTTTTACGCGCGAAAGCTGTTTGATGAAATGCCAAAAAGGAAATGTCTTACGAGTTCGTTAATGAGCCACATCATTCGGGTCTTCTGCCGGTTACCGCGGGATCCGAGATCGCGATAGGCTTCGAGCACGGCCTTGCAGAGGGGAATCACATCGTCGGCGGGGATCCAGGCGTCGAGCGGCACAGCCTCAGCGCAGCGTTTGGGGCTGAAGAAGCCGCCAACGAGAAGATTGAAGCCGAAGCGTCCGTAATTCTCCGCTGGAATGTACGCGAGGTCATTAATGTGAGGATGCTCGTAGAGATCGTGAGATCCCACCACACAGACATTCCATTTCCTTGGCCTGCAGCAGCAGCTAGGAAATTAACCTAACAGTAGTACAGTACTCATAGATAGAAAGAAGAGAAGCGAGAAGGATTTACAGATTGGTGAGGGAAAGATTGCCCTTAGAATTAGCGGTGACGAAGGAGGAGAGAAGGGAAGCGTAGGGGCGAGTGTCGACAATCTCGAGCGGGTCGATGCCGGCGAGGGGATTCCCGACGGGGTTGCGGACATTGTCCATTCCGCTCTGGAGGCTTGTAAGGCCGACAGCAGTGAGGCCGTCGAGGATAGAGGGGACGTCGGCGAGCTGAACACCTCGGATCTGCCAGTTTTGGCGGGTGGTGATGTCGGCGCAGCCATCCTCCCCGTAGGACTGTATTACGCTAGCCAAGTACCGTGTCTGCTCGCTTGTCGTTACACCGTTTGGTAGCTTCAACCGCATCATAAACCGTCCATCTGATCACATTATTTTAAGAAGGAATAAAAAAAACGTTAATTTTCTTAGCCAGTTGAGTCAGTTGTAAATTTGATATAAACTGATTTTAATCACAAATTTGACTCACATAAATATTAAAATTTTGATAACATCCTTTCTATTCATGTTTAAAAAAAAAAAAACTGATTTTAATAGCATGTTTTTCATATAGTTTAAGGCTGGGTTTGAGATGGCTTTCTTACCATTTTTTACTGAAAAGTTATTTTAAGTAGCATTAAAAAAGTCATTTGAAACGAAGCCTAAATTGAATGTAAAAACGCCTATCTTATGGGCTGCTTGGTTTATAAAAAAAAAAATGCAAAATATTTCAAATACTTGGGGGTTTAATTTTATAAGAAAAGAATACAATATAAAACTTAAGTTAATTCTTTTTACGCCTCAATTTTAATGTATTTTAAACTTAGTGAAGTTTTGATCAAATTCTTTTTTCATGATAAGCCAATTTATTGCCGCTCATCGCCTATTGTCAACTATTAATGTCAACTGTTAATGACTGCCATCGAGTTGCACTTATAGAATAATGACTCCTTACAGTCTTTTTTTAATACCAGCTAGACAGCTACTTATATCATTTAATTTTATATTGCATTTATTTTACTTCAAGTTAAATAAAAAAAATTCATGTATTCCTTTTATAATCATTTAAATAAATATAAATATTTCAAATAAATTAATCTCTTAACTAGTTTATTCTTTCATCATGGTCAATCAAATGAACAAAATCGTTTTCTTTGCTAAGTACAACTTAGATGCAAATTGTCCTGTTTGATGCTTTTGCTTTCGTTTTTACAATAAAAATTAGTAATTTTTTTTCTTTTTAATTTAAAATTTTATAGGTTTAATTTATGTTTATTTCTCATTTTGCAAATCATCATTTTTCCTTCCAAGATTTGAGAGAGAGAGAGAGAGAATACATTGATGCTTCCGACGATGGAAGAGGCCAAGCCACTTGAGACGGACGTCGATGTCATCCTTACCGGACTTGGACGCCTCAATCTCCTCCAGTGGCGTCGCTGCCAACTTCCGAATTCCGTCGTCCTCGTAAACAAGGCTCATTGGATCCTTCTCCAGCTTCACTTTCTCTTGCAGATTTATCCCCGCCCGAAACTTCTCCTTCAGCACCCAGTAACCTCCTTCCCTCTCCTCCACTCTCGCCTCCAGCCTCCCTGCCTCCGCCTCCTGCGACGTCGAATTCGCCGCCAGCTCGCCGACGGCGTCTCTTGACGGCCGCCGCCGACAGCGGAGCCTTAGCCTCTGAGGAACGCGGAAGTGTTGGAGGGAAGTTGAGTATGATGTCATATTGGAAGAGTAAATTTAATTAGTGGCGGAGGAAAAACTGGCCATTTATCTAATCTTCTTTTGTAGTGAGCTTTATTCGGCTCTTGGGGAAATCAAAGGGCCAACGTCACTTCGAGCGCGCAATTGCTAAGTTCACGTAAGGACACAGGCAGATATTGACCCCCAGCAATAGGGATTTTATATCTTTTTTTGGGAAAATGAGGGCAGAAGCCCATATATTACCATGAAAAAAGAAGTTACAAATAAGGTATATCAAAAAAGGTTTAACCTCAAATTATGAGGAAAAACCAAAAACCTATACCCCCCCATGAGAACAAGAATAAAAAAGAACTAAAGTAAAGACAGTCCACAAAACTTAGATGCAAAAGCATCTAAAGGACTCAGACTGCTAATCGCAAATAAACTTACTGTAAACCGGCAGCCACGACACGAAAAACTCCTGGTTGCCCAAAGTGAAAAGCCCTCCAAGGAGATGATTAGCAGCTACATCATCGTCCTTGCACAGAATTCGAACAACCAGTAAACCAGCCAATAGTGAAATCCAGAAATCATCAAGATGAAAGCCCAGTAAACACCAAATACCGCAGTAAGCACCTCAACCGAATTCCTTTAATCATGCCAAGGAATTCTAAGCTTCTCTGAATTCTTCCCGTTACCAATTTTTGCATCAATGGCGCTTTTAATGGTCAAGGAAAGAGAAGAGGAACATCTAAACTTCCCATTGAACCTCCTTTGATTCCTTTCTCTCCAAATATAATAAGATGAACAACTCACAGTGAGCAAAAGAAATTCTTTTTGATTTTTTATCATATAATTCTGCTCACCCAACAATTGTAAGACTTGGTTTAGCCTTGGCCTTAATAGAAAGTTTCCCACCATAGGAATGAGGGACTGTGTGGCATGAATTTAATGATGATTTAACATTTTGTTTGATAATATATTCTATATTATTTAATAATTTATATACTTTAACAATTATATATATGTATTCATCAAACAACTTAATTAACATATTGTAAATTGTGCTAATTTTTTCAATCTATTGATCTAATTATATCAATTAATTAACCTATATGTTTAAATAATTAGTAATGAATACATGATTAATTTAAAATTTAATTTCAGCTCTAATAAATAAGTTTAAAAAAATTAATTTTTAAATCAATTTAATGCTCAGTCCAAATTTGTTAAGCATATGAATAAATGAATTAAACCTATGTAGTTGTTTCATTTTTTTTTTTTTTTTTTTTCATTTTTTTTTTTTTTTTGCTTCCCATTGGCTGCCCAACTCTTTCTTACAAGCATTTCCGGCTTTTTTATTACTTCTTAAAGCAATTTTTTAATACAAAAATTAAAAAAAATTGTACTAGAAAATTGCTTTAAGAAGCATTAAGAAAGATCTAAGATAAAGAAAGAAAGAGATAATAAAACCTAAAAATTTCAGCTGATCCCAATTAATAATGAAAAGTTCTGCATAAATTAAGCTGTATAGCCCAATAAACTGCCTGTAGATAAATTTACACGCATGAAGGTTGCCACATTATGGCTAATAAAAGCTGAGAATATTTATCAAATGAATAGACAACAAGAAACCTATGAAATGATACAACTTGACCAAGGCAGTGAATGCATTCCTAATGGCTAAACAAAAATAGCTTCAAGCTCTGCACAGGGAGTGCTTTCTATATATTTTACAAGCTCAGCATTATCTTTAAATCTAAAAGAATACAGTGCTTGCCTTTGCGTCATGCCAACTGGGTATATTCTATATATTTTGTATCCATTACCCCTTATACTTTCCGGTCGTTCTTTCTTCCATATGGGAGTGTGATTCAGAGACTGAAATTTCTGAAGCACTGCAGCTTCCAGTTCTTCAAGAGATAGCTTGTCAGATCTGTCATGAATGATAAGAGTGTTAGTTTTAGGTCATCTAAAAGACAATTTATTTTCTTCTGGGCCTGGTTTTACTGAAGTGGCGCAACTAGAAAACAGGTAGGAGTATTAGAAATGTTTTGCAGTACCTGAGGAAGATACTTTCCATCTTAAAACGCCCTCTCTCTCTTACATACAAATGATATACAGTTCCTTTGCTGCTTTGGCACTTGCATGAACGGTTTCTGAACTGGGGATTGCTTTCCTCTTTTTGGTAGATCATAGTTGCAATATGGATGCAAAGCCTACAAGATGAATGCACGGCTGCCATGTCTACTAGAGCCTTAAAAGAGTCTGATGGACCCTCATACTTCCATCTGGATGAGAATAACGGATAATTCAACAAAGTCTGACAAATAATTGAAGTACAAAATATTTGAAATCTCTTATTCAAAATTATATCAGCTAATGAAAATTTCAATTCAAAGCAGATCACACCGTTAAAAGTTTTGGAGGACTGCAACACCGTGTTAATTATAAGCTGAACGTAAGAAATCTCATGATTAGTCTGCAGTTAATATGCCTCTCAAACAAATGATGAACCATTTATACAGGGTTTTAGGTCCGTCGCCAAGGGCATCTTACCACAGAATACACGTATCAATTTGTTGGATGGTTTTAAAATCTCATCTATTTTGTTCAAGAAGAAAAGATGATAGCAAACACAGGGCAGAGGAAGTAAACACTCTAAACACGGGTAGATATGACAAGTATGAAGACTGATGCATAATCGTTAACATATAATTCAATTATGTGGAGGAGTTAAGCATTCAAGCAAATATATCGATATTAAAAGCGGATGCTCACATGGAGGGAAACCTGCAGTTAATGAAAGGCGCCACCAAAGGATTGGGTTGGTTTTTACCTGGAACACCCCCAACCCAATCCAATCAACAATAAAGAAAACTTCGAATGGTTATATTTATTAGCATACTAAGCATACATCTGTATTTAATTATGCTTACTTAAATCATTTTTACGGTTTTACCTTGTTAACTCTATATAAAGAAGCCTGTATCTACTAACAGTTCATTGAAATACATTTTCTATTTTTCCTCTGCTTCGGTCCCGTTCTTTCTCCTTTCTTTTCTGCCTTCTTCTTTCCTCTTCTTTCTTGCTACAATTCTCTCATGGTATCAGAGCCATGACCGGAGAACAAGGCTCAGTGAATTCTGGAATCCCCTTTGTCGCGCAAACCGATCACTCCGACGCCACAATCGTCATCCCTCAGCCCCTCAAATTTCTTGTTTCGAATATCAAGAATCTTGCACCCCACCCGCTCACCTCGGAGAACTATCTAATCTGGCGAATCCAAATTCTTCAACAGTTTTCTGCAAATGGTTACACAGGCTACCTCACCGGCACCGTGCAAGCTCCGTCCGATGAACTCTCCGATGCCTATACCAAATGACGCATCATTAATAGCAATCTTCTCTCCGCCCTCTTCTCAACGATCTCTCAACCTATTCTACCCTACATCATCACCGCGGCCTCCGCGAACGAAGCCTGGACAATTCTTGAACGGCGGCTTCAGCCTACTAGCCGTTCCCGCGTAATGCAACTGAAGAACGAGCTATATCGCATTATAATGAAGGATCAAACTCTTCAGACCTATCTTGCTCGGATCAAGTCCATTGTGGACAACATCTCGGCGTCGGGGTCCAAAATCGAGCCAGAGGATGTCATGCTCCACATCCTTAACGGTCTGCCTTCTCAATTCAATTCTTTCAAGTCCACCATCCGGAACTCACTTCTCCCCATTGATCTGGACACATTCTACTCTCTTCTATGCAATGAAGAGATTCATCTTCAGCAAGAAATGTCTCAAGATTAGACAATGAGCTCTACGGTCAATGCCCTCTATGCCGCCTCCTCATATCAATCTCGAGGGAGGTCCACTCGCCGGTATTTCAAGAACAAGAATTCTCAGTCAGCTCTCCCAACTCTGACCGCACCTCAAACAGGATCCACAACTCCGAGCCAGAACCGCCCGATCTGCCAAATTTGCGGCAGAATTGGCCATATCGCTCTCAATTGTTGGAATCGCAACAACCCCAAGTATGCCCCCATCGAATTCAAACAACCGCGCGCTCTTTTCACAAGTCCCCCGAACTCAACCAATCAAGATTGGGTCCTCAACTCTGGCGCCTCCGCTCATCTAACTCCGGATGCCAATAACCTCTACCTCCCCACGGCTTTCACTAGCACGGACAACATCTCCATAGCTATGCTCATTCACTCAGCCGGCCAAGGCATTCTACCGCTACCGGATAACACACGTAAGCTACACCTTCGTAATCTTCTTCATGTCCCTTCCCTTGCACACAATCTTCTTTCTGTATCCAAACTAACCACGGATAATTCTGTTTCCATTTCCTTTGATGCTAACGGCTTTACAATCAAGGATCTTCAGGACCACCGTCCTCTGCTTCATGGTCGTCGATCTACATAACGGTCTGTACCAGATCAAGCTCTCTCCGGACACTCGTCACACAGCTCTTGCCACTACAAAGCCACCCTAACATAATTGGCACGCACGGCTTGGCCACTCAAGCAATAACATTCTTTCAATTCTTGCAACTCGTTTTTATGAAATTTCCACTTTACCTCAGTCTTTTTACCACATTTCTTGTAATTTGGCCAAAAGCCACAAACTAGTTTTCAATAAAAATGTTTCGAGTACTACCTCTCCATTTGATCTTATTCACACAGATGTCTGGGGGCCAGCTCCTCATAGTTCGCTCGACGGACACCGCTACTACGTCATCTTCATTGACAACTACACTCGATATTCTTGGTTATACCTAATGTACACAAAACAAGAAACATTGTCCAAATTCAAATTACTCTGCAACCTAATCAAAACGCAACATCAATGCACTCCGAAAGCTCTCCGCACCGATGGCAGCGGGGAATTCACCAGCATTGCCTTCCAGAATTTTCTTCAAGAAAACGGGATATCCCAACAGGTTTCGTGCCCGCACATGCCCGAGCAAAACGGGTTGGCCGAGCATAAGCATCGGCATCTTCTAGACCTTACTCGTGCCCTTCTTCATGATTCTGGTCTTCCGCAAAAGTTCTGGGCCGAAGCGCTTACAACCGCACACTACCTCATCAACTTTCTCCCGTCTAAAGCCATCTCCCTGCACATTCCTTTCCAGCGACTCTACGGCAAACCACCAACCTACAACCATCTTCGAACATTCGGCTGTCTTTGCTTCCCATGGTTGAAACCTTATGCCCCAAACAAACTGTCTCTGAGATCTACTGCCTGTGTTTTCCTCGGATACTCACCTATACACAAAGGATACAAATGCTATGACAACCAAACCAGCAGAATGTATACCTCTAGGCACGTCATCTTTTACGAACAACAATTCCCTTACATGAACATACCCCAGTCACCCAGCACGCCGAATACGTGCTCCCCGGCTCTCGGACCTCCTCTCCTGCAACCACCCACATCCATTCCTCCTGCCACTAACAAGACCTCTATGACCATTCCACCCCTCAGTCCCACTCGGTCTCCAACTGAGAAGACTCACAGTTCCTCCACGATACCTCACGAACATATACCTCTCTCACCCAACAGCTCTGCCCCGCCCATTCCAATCATCAATCCGCCTCTCCACCACATGCATACCTGACTGAAATCGGGTATCAGCAAACCTAAACACGTCTTCAACTTACTCACTCACACTACTCCTATGCCAACCCCGTCCACCTTTAACCAGGCCAACAAATCAGAAGAATGGCGACGGGCGATGTCAGCTGAATTCGACGCCCTACTAAAACAGTACACATGGTCTCTCGTACCCATCCCACAGAACAAACCCGTTCTCGGGTGTAAGTGGACCTTCAAGACCAAACTTCTGCCAACCGGACAACTCGATCGATACAAAGCAAGACTTGTTGCCCTGGGATACAATCAGCAATTTGGCATAAATTACACAGAGACTTTCAGCCCGGTGGCGAAAATGCCGACGATCCGCTTCCTTCTGACCATTGCCTTTAATCGTCGCTGGCCAATCTACCAACTCGACGTCTCCAACGCGTTTCTTCACGGCAAACTTGAAGGTGATATATACATGAGACAACTGCCCGGCTTCATCAACACGGCCCATCCGGAATTCGTCTGCAAACTTCGAAAATCTTTATATGGCCTGAAATAGGCACCACGTCAATGGTTCAACAAGTTAACGAGATTTCTTCAATCACAAGGATTTGGGTTCAGTCGTTCCGATCCCTCATTACTTCTTTTCAATAAAAATGACGTGTAACTCTACATTCTTATTTACGTCGATGATTTTCTTGTAACAGGTAACTACGCAGCTGCCATCAAGAACCTTCTCCACCAGTTATGTACGCAATTTGAGCTCAAGCAACTGGGCCAAATCTCTCTATTCCTCGGTATCCAGGTAATTCAATCCACATCTGGGTATTTTCTTTCACAACAGCACTACGCCACTAAGCTTCTTCGGGACGCAGGATATGCCGACTGTAAACCAGCGCCGACTCCAGTTACACCGGCAAATAAACACACTCCATCTTCCAGCCAGTCGTTCAGTGACCCAACGCTATACCGCAAGCTTGCCGGATCCCTCCAATATCTATCGATCACCCGCCCGGACATAGCCTTTGCAACAAATCAAGTCTGCCAACATATGCAATGTCCAACTGATCTCGACTTCAAGTCTCTCAAGCGTCTTCTTCGCTACATCAAGGGCACCGTCGACTATGGACTACCGATCTCACCAGGACCTCTTGAACTACACACTTACACGGATGCGGACTGGGCATCCGACAAATCTGATCCCAAGTCCATTTTGGGCTACTGCACATTCCTAGGTCCGACCCTCATCTCCTGGACGGTTAAGAAGCAAGTCACCGTCGCCAAGTCCTCAACTGAGGCGGAATACCGATCTCTTTCGGCTGCCACTTCAGAGGTCATATGGCTTCGCCGTCTTGCCGCCGAGCTCAATGTTCTGCAACCGTCACCGACCACAATTCACTGTGACAATACCTCCGCCATCGCCATTGCAAAGAACCCTGTCTTCCACAATCGAACGAAACATATCGAGATTGACTACCACTTTATTCGCCAACACATCAACTCCAATGCCATTCAATTGGCACACATCTCCTCCAAAGATCAAATAGCTGACATTTTAACAAAGTCATTCTCTATAACACAGTTCAATGAGCTTCGAGACAGCTAACCATTCGTCCAACGAACGCTCAGCTTGCGGGAGGATATTAGCATATTAAGCATACATTGTATTTAATTATGCTTACTTAAATCATTTTTGCGGTTTTACCTTGTTACCTCTATATAAAGAGGCCTGTATCTACTAACAGTTCATTGAAATACATTTTCTATTTTTCCTCTGCTTCGGTCCCGTTCTTTCTCCTCTCTTTTCTGCCTTCTTTCCTCTTCTTTCTTGCTGCAATTCTCTCAATATTAAGGTTTCATTTGTTTGCTTGAAGTTAAAAAATAAAAATGATGATGCGTGATAAATTGACCGGCATTGATTTCAAACTCCAAAAACCATCTAAAAAGGATAATTAAAATAAATAAAATAATGTAACATTACTTTCTAAAACATAATTTCTACTTAACAGTTACCAAAATTATCCATAATCTCATCCCACTTTCATATATATATATATATATATATAATTTTAGTTAGTTTGTATCTTTGGCTTATCTTTTCTGCTTCTTAGTGTTATAGGTAGACGGATACAATGCTCTCAATTCGAGAAGAGAAGCTTTCTCCCAAGCCCTAGATTAGAAAGAAAACTAAAGCAGCCACCAAACAAGATGCCTCTCAAAAATACCCTAACTCCCCTTTAACCCTCACATGATCCCCCCCAAAATACCCTAATTACCCCTAGGGCAAACAAAACAAACTCCCTCTTACATTTGGTGGGCCCCTTGGGCCCACCCGCTCCCTCCCTCTCCTTCGGCCGAACGCCCAGGCGGGCGTTTTCTCCGCCTGTAATAGGCGAGAACCGGCCCTTTGTGGGCCGATGCGGAAGCGGGATGGACCGGGTGGTCCGGTCCATCAGAGAGGAGGCAGCGTGGCTTCGGGTATCTGACAGGAGGCGGTCCATCTCTCATTCGCCTGTGAATCGGGTTCGCAGAGGGAGGCGGAAGACACATGCAAGCGGTTTTGTGGAATGTTAGCAAGCACAGGTAGAGACATGAGAGCACAGGGCACGAGCGCGTGATGCGCACGATTTGCAACATGAGATGCATTGCGGCAGGGGGAGCAGCGGGCGGAGATGCGCCGGGCACATGCAGACACCTGCGGGGCCCAGGAAAGTGAGCTGAACTTTGCCAAGGCGCAGGCAAGCACGAGTCAGGCTGGCGTGTGGTTGGACCAGATGCGGGAGAAAGAATCGGGCAGTGCATGACTGCGAGGTTCTTGCACTGGTTGGACGCAAGCGCCTGGGCTAGCTGGACGCGTAGTTCTTGAGAGCGAGCGGAGGCATCCCCGGGGGGGATGAGAGGAGGCAGCTGCATGAGATGGTTGTGAGTTACGGAAGCGGGAGCAATCAGTCAAGATGCGGAAGTGGGCAGAGGTGAAGGAAGGCATTGCGTGCGAACGCGGGATAGATCAGGTTGGGCCACTCAGGGCAGCGTGCAGGGGATTCAGGTCAGTGTCAGGAATGCTGGTGGGCTGACGTTCACGCTGGTGGGAACAGTGGGATTGGCGGTTGGGTATGCAGGGCACGAACAAGAGGCTCGCATGCGGGGTGGTGCGGCAGCGGATCTTGATCCTCGGATGGCTATGGTTGCTATGGTGGAGGCAAGGAGAGTAAGAATTTCCTTGATAAAGATCTCTTTAGATCTTTGAGGTGGAGGTATTTTTCTTGGTTATACATAATAAAATCTGGATCAAGGTGGAGATTGTTGTATTTTGATCCAATTTAGTTAGTTTGTACCTTCGGCTTATCTTAAATGTTGGGGAAAATTTAGTTTGTACCTACAGCTCGGGATACCTTTATACAAATACAATAGGAATTAAAATACAAAAATGATGTACCTCAGTGAGTGGTTAAATGCTTCAGGATTTGATGCAAGATATTTCATTTTCTGAGCAATAAATGGAACGTCATCAAGAGATTTAATGTGCAATATAGAATCATCAGAGGGAGCAAAATCTTGAATATTCGGGGCACCAATAACCACTGGGACAGCCCCTGAAAGTTGCACAATGAGAAGGACAAAACTGTCAGTAACATGCTTCAATAAGACAAAAGCAAGCTTATCTTGCAGAAAAGTAAATGAGTGTTAAACAAATTTTCATCTTTTGTTTCGAAAAAAGTTATTAGATATGAATGGACATTTTTAAAGGATTAATCACTAAACAAATCCAAACTCCCTTGCGCTTCTAGGAACCTTTCTTACCAGAATGACAACTATACTAAGTACATGGTCAGCAAGATCTCAATAAAACTTCTCCCAGTGCTATATCTCAAAATCAAATGGAAAATATTTTAGTAGAAGGAATAATTTTTTTCAACTTCAAAAAAGAAATTTTAAATTGATCAGGAGCAGTAGGCCAGGAAAGTTTGAAATAATCACTTGGATATTCATTAAGAAAACCAATGTCTTGTTTTCACAAGCAGAATAAATGTGCCTGCTATGGGCCATCCATGAAATGTAATTTCACCAGTAGTTTAAACCAAAATGACTGGTTTAGCCCATGCAGATGGAGTGTGGACACGGAATGATTTGTTGTATGAAGCTGTATTCACCTTCAAGGCTGGATAAATAAAATGAGTAACACAAAGCACAGGGATAGAATATGATGCCAGATCAGGAAACATAATCAAGTATGATGAGAGCAAAAACAATTGTTTATGACAAGAAAGAGCCGCATCAAAAGAAGGAACTGCTCGCAAAAAGTGTGCTGACAACATTTGTGAAAGTATTCATAGAAAATCAACAGAAATTTCTTATAAGTTGGTGATCAATAGTTAATCTAAAAGTAACAAGATGGAAAAGGTATAACACTATAGCTTAACACTTAATAGGCATTAAGCAGTCATAAAAGTGAAAGAGGCTCAAAATATTAAATGATAAGTTATAGCCTAAGCAACATTACCTGCAACAAGAGACTGGAAGAATTTCTCTGTAACGTAATCCTCCTCATTAGAATTCTCAAAAGCCAAACTGAATTTGTATCTCCTTAAGGTTTCTACTTTGTTCACTGTATTAAGAAATATAAAAATCATAAATTACACCTCAAAATTAATTGTTTCAGAACCAAATCAGTCAATAAAAATGGAGAATATATCCTACAACGTTTATGCTAATGATATACGAGCAGCATGTCATCTTCTATGAACAAGATGTGTGACACATACTCTGCCCTACGTTCCTGTTACATCCTTTATGCAGTGAAATGATGCTTCTTCCTAAGTCGTGGTTAACATTGCAAGAATCTTTAAGCATAAAAGAAGACTGGGGAAAGGTTCTGTGAAGCGATAGTGGGAGGCAGAGGTCATTTTCTAAGTTTCCCTTTTCCTAAACATGGTAACAGTATGTTGGTCTGTGATTCTTTTTCTTTTCTTTGTGAGTAGTCCGTGGGGAGGAGGGATGTCAGGGTTGCTTGTCAGGAGAGATTATTAGGTGCGGAGTGCGGATGGGAGAACCGTCTGCACAAGCATTATTCGGCGCTAGGTACCGGCACTCGGTACAGCTGGGTACCGCTAGGTACCCAATGCTTGTGCGGACAGTGCGCACTCAGCACCTAATAATTTTTTGCTTGTCAGGGGCATGCAGGCATGGCATTTTGGCAGTTCTCCAGTAACTACTAGGAAAAAAAAAACAATACACAAATTGACAATCTGGAACTTCCAAATGAAACTTAGATTACTGTAAGGAGAAATGAAATTGTAGCACCTCATTCCAGATGCCTCATCAAGTTATTCACATGTCAAGATATTTGAATTCGGGTGAATTCAAAATATTTCTCAGGAAAAGCCAGTCCAATGCCAACACGGACCAATGCTACCCTACAGAATGACGACTAGCTCAAGTTTACTTGTTGGATTGGATAGAACTTACCAGATGATTCGGGTAATTTTACTCAGCTTCTATCCTGGCAAGAACCAGTTGGATCTCTAGTAACCACTGGCATGATCAGCCTTCGCATTTCCGGTACTGGGATATGCCTCTACTCTGAACGAATTCACTTCTCAAACTACAAAATATTTTGCGTTATTGTTATGATGCACTGCAGCTGTTATCATCCAATCCAACCACTCAAGAAGCGCCACATGACCATTTCTTATCCGGAGGACCGGAACAGTGATTGCATCATGAATATTTCATGCAATACCGCTACATCTCTTAGCCACAAATCTCTCTGACTCTCAAAGATCAAAATGCCTGCCAATCATCAGGTCATCCAACGTCTACTTCTTGGAATTTGATCGCCTCCAATTCTACCACATGAAGCGCTTCCTTTACTCCTACCAGCTCCAGTCACTGATGGCTCGCATGTCATTATTCACCACAAAACTGCCTCAAGCCATGGTGCTGCCTTTAAAAACCTCCTTTATGGTGAGATATAAACCATAGAGATGAACACAAGCTATGCTACTTTACTAGATTATAGCTCAAATGAGTGAGAACCAAGTGATTAAAGGACTATAACATTTCCCTCCCAAAAATTTCCCACCCAAAATATTCTTTGTATGCCACAATGTCAAATCACATAAAACTGTGCGTTGTCTCCTTCTCTGATTCTACTCTTATTGATCAATATACTAATTTTCTATTGATGATCAAAATCGTCTCACTATCAAGAAGTAACCAAGCCTAAAAGCTTGATCCTCCTCTGCCTTTTCCTAGGTGAACCGACCAAAACTTCGGTTAAAATGATGTTTATCATCCTCTATGACCACTTACACCGTTTACATCTTTTTAGTGCTCTCATTGAGGCAATTTAGGTTGGATGAAAATTGGATGGATGAGCATCCAGCTCTGGTGGCCACCTACCGTTACTAGCCTATTCTTCTATGCCTCTTGCCAGCAATGGAAGCAAAAGCTCTTCCCAACCCTAAAAAACATTAATCACAGCAGCATAGTACCTACAGCCTTTCAAGAAAATGGTCATCATTCTCTAGTACGCATTTCGTCTTGTCATCTCGACTCAAACTACAATACTTGATTTTGTAACTCCATCAACCTTGCCTCAAAACCAACCATTAAAAAAGCGGACGAGGCGTCCGCATTGAGTCACGCCTCAAATCGAGGAGGAAGTCATGCGTATCGGGGCTTACGCCTCGAACCATCCAGCGAAGCCAACGATTTTTTCGCATGAGGCGTACGCATCAGAGCCTAATGCCTCGAGGCCGTACGAGGCACTGCCTCGAAATTTTTTCTTCGGTATATTTGTAAATACGCGCACCCGATTCGTGTTCGCGTATTCTCGAATAGGATTGGGGCTTCATGTGAGAATTGAAAGGCGAACTGGAGGCGAAGCCGTGAGGGAAAGAGACGAAGCCGTAAGGGAAGGAGACGAAGCCCTGAGTGCAGGAGACGACGCAGGAAACGAAGCCGAAAGCAATAACGGTTTCGAAAGCAGGAAACGAAGCCGAAGTTGTGAGAGCAGGAAACGTTCAGACTTCGGTTAGGTCGGAAGAGCAGGTGTTGTGGGCCTTGACTTTGACGTGCAGTAACGAAAGCTTGAATAACTCCTGATTCGGCTTTCTTTCATTCATTCACTCTATACATGCTCGGTACTGCTCCGTACATGCTCGGTACCGAGCCAGTACCGCTCGGTACCAAGTAAGTATATGCTCGGTACAAAGCGGAGCAAGTACACGCTCGGTACCGAGCAAGTACACGCTCGGGGGGGAGCCAATACCGCTCGGTACCGAGCAGTACATGCTCGGTACCGAGTGAGATTAGAGCTTCAAAAAAATTTAAAAGTATTCTTAAATATAATGAATTATTTTTTATGCTATTATTGTCTTATTCTAGAGCTAATGAAATCTTAACTGATATAGGGGAGAAAGGAAAAAATATTCTAAATGAAAAAGAGTTTGAAGATGACTTTGACATTAAATATGAAGATTCTTCTGAAGATAATCAAAGTGATGATGAGCCTGCTTTGGGTCTCGATCCTAAGGGGATGTTTTATTTTTAAGTGAGTTTATTTTAAATCTTGTATTCCAATAATATTATCCTAAAACAAATCTTCAAATTCATAGTTCACATAATATTTTGTTATTTTTTGTCATTATTTATAATTTTAAATTAATTTATTTTAATCGTTTTGAGGCTTACGCCTCGATCCGCCTCGAGGCTTACGCCTCGCCTCGCTTAGAAAAAATGCCTCAAATCCCGATTTCGCCTTTTAAAACCTTGCTCAAAACTCTATTATTGAGGTCCCAATCCCATTATCACCAATGACTCTGACAACATAGTCTGCTACCCCCACTAAAGTCATTGAGTGGCAAGGCAAGCAACATTAAAAAAAAAACCCTTGTATTATTATATGTTTGTCGACCTCAAGATAGATTCTCTCCTCTTTACAATGGAAAACAAGGAAGAACCATTGTCAATAAATTTAAGAAGTCGATCCTCAACTTATGCAACACGTTGGGCCATGTTATGGGGCATCTTAGTAGGTTTAATGATGATATGTCTATGGTATTGACCATAACGAATGTGCAACGCTGTTTTCACTTTCATGCCAAGGAGATGAGGCAAATTATTCATTCACTTGTCACCTCACAACATCTCCTTCAATGAGTAGCACCGATAGTTCATCATTGAATTAACGGTTTAAGCGCCTCTAAAATTCTATCAAATGTTACTCAATGTTTAGAAATGGGAAAAGAAATCCCAAGGGAATAAACCACCCACATTACATGAAATGGGGAGGTCACAACCTCCAAGCCAACCATTGTCAAGTTGGAGTTGATGATAAGTCTTTGCGGTTGTTAACTATATTTATTGTAAAAACACTTCTAGTGATTATTGCCAAGATGCTAGTGAAAGCATAAATGTTTATAAACATAATGCAGAGAAAAGCCCAACGGCCTTTGCAACGTTGATTTTCCTTGCAGACAATTTTAAGAAGGAGATTGCCAGGTCCCAAGTCCTGGATGAGAAAAATGGAGGGTTGCGTTAAGTAGTCGACAGCCAGCGTAAAACTTGTCGAACAATAATGACATGAATCCTTTAAGAAATTGTGTTAATGCTAGGGCGTCCCCTGGAAGCGACGCGCTGTATGGCCTGAATACAGTGACAAGTGTGCAAGGGCCGCTGCACCGGCGCCCGGGTGCAGTGTTAAATAGGCAAGGGTTCCCACATCAAGGACGGATGTGGGCAAAGAAGCTAGTCCAGTAACAAAAATATTTTTGGGAATAAGATTTTAGATCTTAAGATTTTGTCTGTGCATGAGGATGCTAATGTTATGAGAAAAAAAGTGGCTAGTGATATTAAGAATATTGCAAAAGATGTCCTTGGAGTATCAAAGGGAAAAGCTCATAATAGTAAAAATAGT